CTGCTTCGGATTCTGTGTCTCCTTCTCTCTCTCTGCCCCTCCCCCACTCTTGCTCTGTCTCTCATTCTCAAAAATAAATATTTTAAAAATTAAAAAAAAGAAAATGCCACCATTAAAACTAACATTAGGAAGTACTTTATATACAGCTGAATTTCCCAAAGAAAACAATTACAATCTAGATAGCAGCAGCCAAAATCCTATTTAAAGGCACAGGAGAGTGGCCAGATGTAGGCAAGGGTTCAGTGTCTGAAAGAAAGATTATGTGGGTCTGGCCCAGTCTGCTGGGCATGGGGGCCATAAAGCTCCAGGGAAAAGCCAGTCTCACTGGTGTGAGGCATTACCCAGTGGAGTTAAGGGCTGTTGCTAGAAAGGGGGAAGGAAAATCTTGGAGAGAGGCAGCCCAAAAACCTGCAATTTTCCTCAAGTCCTTAGCTTTTGAATTCTGTATTCATGGGCAAGCTACAAGAAGCCCAGGGCAAAGCAGCTTCTGGAAGCTGAAAGAATTGATTTCAGCTGCTATCCCTGGAGGGGAGCAGAGCTTGGAATGTAAGTCCCAAGTTAGAAGGTCTGGCAAATACTTTGGGCTTTTCACTGAAACCCCAGAAGTGCCACACTTAAAAATTTTTTTAATGTTCATTTATACTAGAGATATACTAGAGAGAGAGAGAGAGAGAGAGAGAGAGACAGGGGAAGGACAGAGATAGAGAGACACACAGAATCCGAAGCAGGCTTCAGGCTCTCAGCTGTCAGCACAGAGCCCGGTGTGGTGCTCGAACTTGTGAACTGTGAGATTGTGACCTGAGCTGAAGTTGGACGCTTAGCGGACTGAGCCACTCAAGTACCCCAGAAGTGCAAGACTTTAGAGGTAAGGAATAAGTCTCAGAACCCAGGACTTTTTCTTAGATATAAGGGCATAACTGACATAGAACCAGTCTAACAGAGCATGAAGTCGGGTTGCTACAAGTTTAAGGTGATCCACCACTGGCTCAACTGCCTGCTGCTCGAAGAAAATCAATACTCTCCAAAGGAAGAGACTAGAATCTAGCATCTTTATGAGGTGATGTCCACCATATTTGGCATGTAGTTGAAATTTATTGGATATTGGATATGAAAAGAAACAGGAAGATGTGATTCAGAGTCAAGAGAAAAATCAGTCAATAGAAACTGACCCCCAAATGAGCCAGATGTTGGAATCGGCAGACAAGAAATTTAAAGCTGCTATTATAACCATGTTCAAGGATTTAAAAGAAAAAGCAGATAAATAGAAATTATGTATGTATGTATTCATAAGTACAATATCTGAAATGAAGAATTTACTGGATAGCCTTCCACAGAGAGTGGAAATAGCAGGGGCAATGGTTGGTGAAATTACTGCAGGATGGACAGAAATTCCAGATTGGAGAATTGATGGGTAAGGGCAGCATTAATAAACAGAACCTTAGTAACTTACGAGACAATTCAAGTAGTGCAATGATATACATGTAATTGGAGTCCAGAAGGAGAGGAAAGAGAGAATGGGGCAGTGGGTAATTTGAATAAAGAATGCCTGAAATGACCCCAGATTTGGTGAAAAACTTCTCTATCAACTTATAGGTTCTACAAATGCAGCAAACCTTAAGCCAGATAAGTACAGAGAGAGCCATATCTGGAAGCATCATTGCCAAATTGTTGAAAATCAGTGGTAAAGAGAAAATGTCGAAATTTTACATACAGAGGGAATTCCTAGAGAACTAGTGCTAATCTCCAATCAAGCAAAAAAGGCCCAAAGGCTATGAACGACATCTTTAAAGGACTGCCAACAAACAGACAAACAATAACAAAAACACAAAAAAAACCTGTCAACCAAGAATTCTATGTCCAATTAAGCTTTTCTTCAAACACAAAATATGGAAGAAAGACATTTTTAGAGAAGCAGAAGCTGAGAGAATTTGTTGCCCGGAGACCTTCAGCACAAGAAATGCAAAAGAAGTTTCTTCAGTCTTAAATGAAAGGATCCAGTTGTAAAGTTGGCTGTACAGGAAAAAACAAAGAATCCCAGAAATAGTAAAACTGGGTAAGTAGAAAAAAAATCTCAAGTCTCACCAAAAGACAAGAGGTTGTTTAAAAGTGATAAGATTATATTGTGGTTTTTATACTGTAGATAGATATAAAATACAGTAAAACCGTGGTTTACGAGCATAATTCATTCCGGAAACATGCTTGTAATCCGAAGCACTTGTATATATCAAAGTGAACGTCAAGAACCAATGGCTCAGTTATGATCATGTGACATTGGGCATCACGTAGTACTGGCATTGCAAGACATCTCTCACTTATGAAGTTAAAATTTATTAGAAATGTTTGCTTATCTTGCAGAACACTCACCCAACCAGTTACTCGCAATCCAAGGTTTTAGTGTATATCAAAATAGCACAAAAGAGGGAGGTAAGATGAAAGTTACTCTTTCAAGTGACTTCCATTTGAAGTGGAGTAGCACAACGTTAAACGTGGCCCGTGATAAGTTAAAGATTCACATTATAATCATTGGAGCTAAAAAAAAGGCCAATAGAGAGATGAAAGTGGAATATTAAAAATATTCAATTAACAACAAGAAGGTAGGAGAGACAGGAATAAAAAACAGAGTAAAGACAGAATACAGACCCACACCCAACAACACGAAGCTCGAAAACTTTATTTTCAGCGAAAAAAGCCAAATACAAAAGAATGCATATCGCCTGGATTCTAAACACAAAATTCAGGATCAGAGCTAACCCATGGTGATGTCAATCAGAGCAGGGACTGTGTCTGAGGAATGGCGACGGCCTGGGAAGAGGCAGGGGAGAACTTTGTGGAGTAACCGAAGTTCATATCTTGATCGAGCGGGTACCTTCTCTGGGAGTATATATTTACCGAAGTTCCCAGAACTGTACTCTTAGGATTTGTGCATTTCATTGTGTGTAAATGTTACATCCATTGGGGCCTGGCGTTGTCCACTCTGATCAACAGGGGGCGCTCCGAGCTCACCAAACGCGCTTCGGGGACCCAGCTACTTGGGGATGCAAATCAGACCCGCTCTGGTCTCCGTCTTCAAGGTGGATCTCGCAGCCCCCCAACTGTTCTCCCTCGACACCCCACCTCCGCAGCACGCCCCCACCCCCTGCCACCGCGGCTTCGCGGGCTGGTCCGTGTCCCCTCCGCGCGCGCTGCGCTTCCACGGGTGCGCGGCGCGCGCTAATGGCGACGCAGTTTCCCGCGGCACCCCGCGGAATACAGATGCGGCTGCGAGCTGGCGTGTGCCGCCTGGAGGCGTACCTGCCCCCCGAGGTCCTCTCTCCATGCGATCGCTCTTTACACTGGAAGCAGGAACGTCATGGAAACTTCCACACGGTTCTCGACATCTTCATTTTGACCTTCTTACCTCGCTTTGGTGGCTGTGAAATCTTCCCACGCCAGGGCTGGGGCGGGAGGGGGAGGGAAGGTGGGCGGCGGCGGGAGCGAGGCACAGAAGGAATTTTCCCCCGGGAAGGCGGGAGGGGCGTTGCCCCAGGGTTTCGGCACCCCAGAAGGTTGTCTTCCTGCCCCCTCCCTATCTCAGAAGGAAGCCAGGTTCTGGAAAGCCCCAGACATCCCTCGCGCCCTCGCCCACCCCCAGGCCGGTGTCTCCGGGCGCGGAGATGCCATTACACCTCACGTGACCCCCGCACTGGGCCGGTCCCTCTCGAGGCGTCTCGCGGGGTGTTAATTAAAGGTCACAGCAAAACAGACCTGCCGGCTCACCGGGGGAAATGTCCTCCCGGGAAATGAAAAATGACACCCCGGAGCAGCCACGTGTGGAGCCCGGCATATGCCGGTTTCCTGCGCTCTGCGCGTCGCGCGGGGGGCCGCGGGGGATCCGACAGGGGGCGGTGGCCGGGTGCCCCCGGGGCTCCGCGGGCCCCTGGCGCGGGAGGAAAAGGAAGGAGGGGTGCCGAGGGGACCCAGCGGGGCGCGGCGCGGCGAGGGCAGCCCGCACCGCCACCCCCCCCCCCCACCCCGCTTGCAGGCCCGCGAAGCCCGCGCTGCGCGTGTGCACGCGGCGAATCCCTCAGTTTCCCCTGCCCTGCGGCGGCGGCCGGGTCCCGGGCTCACCTGGGCGGGCCCCCGGGCGGCTCGGCACGTCGCAGACTGGGGCGCGGGCGGGCGTGTGTGGGGGGGCGAAGCCTTCCCCCCCCCCCGCCCCAGGTCGTCCTGCTGTGGTTGGGAGGGTGCCCCGCGGGCCGGCCGGGGGTTGGGAGGGCGATCCCAGAAAAGGTTTGCAGGGCAGGTCTAGGAGAACAAAGGGCGGGGAGGGGGTGGTGGTGGAGGAGGACCCGGCATGTTTGCGGACTTGTTTGTGACTCAGTCCCTTTTACACGGCGTTTCAAAGGCAGAACTGCACGCCTCGCCAGGAAGAGAAAGAACTTGGGGGCGGGGACGCTCGGCGCGTTTCTGGCCGGCCCTCCCCTCGCCGCTGCCCCTCCGCGCCCAGCGCGCGCGGCGGCGTTTCCTTAAGGGCCGCGGGCCGCTCTCCAGTAACTTCCCCGCGAGGGGCGAGATTTACGGCCCCCCGCCCCCCGCGCCCGGCGCGCACCGTCAGGCGGGCGCGCCGCCACATAAAATGGATCCCGGCCGGCGCGGCGGAGGCGGCAGCCGGGCGGCGGGGCGGCCGTGGCCGAGGCTCCGCGCTGCGCCCGGGCGCACACGCGCGCGCTGACCGCCGCGGCGCCCGGGCCCCGCCGAGCCGCCTCTCCCGGCCCCCGCGCAACTGTCAGGCCGAGCGGGGCCGGCGGATATTGGCTCCGCGACGCGCCGAGGCTCCTCCCCGAGGCTGGATCTTTTATATTTTGGGAGAATTTCTTTGAACTCAGTTAGCGAGCTCCGCGAAGGAGACAAGTTCCCACAGCCGGCGCGCCCGGCGGAGGCGCGGCGCGGCGCGGCGGGGGCTCCCCGCCTTCCCTGCGGCGGCGGGCGCCCGGTCGCCCCCCACTCGCCGCCCCCGGGGAGGAGGCCCGGCGGACCCCCTCGGCTGGGGAGGAGTGCCAGGGATGTGGATGTGGCCGTGAAAAGAGAACGTGTGCCTGGAGGAGGCAGAAGAGGAGGAAAAGCATTATTTGAAGAGAAGAATAAGCCAGCCACTCCAGCCCGTTCTGCAAATTAGTGCTATTACTTCTGGGGTCCATTTGCTGTGATTCTTTCCTCCTCCCTCCCACCACCCCAAATTAAGGAACCTTGACTTGAGGGCCAGGAGCCAGCCCCCGAAAACGGCGAGGGGGGGGTACCCTTCTGGGTCGGAAGACCTTTTGGATGTAGCGTTGGTGGAACATTTAGACACTCTCCTCGGGAAAGGCCACCATGAATTCGGTAGCGGGGAATAAAGAGAGGCTGGCGGTCTCCACCAGGGGCAAGAAATACGGGGTAAGTTGCCACGGGGACGATGCGGAGACGCGTTACCGGAGCCCCGTCGGCCGGGATCCCCCTTTCCCCGCGCGGTGCGGCCGCGCAGGGCGGCCCCGCGCTCCGGCGCTGCGGCAGAGGCGCCTCCGCCGGGCTGTGCGTGCGCGGAGTCTGCACGCCCGCCTCGCCCTCGGAATGTTCTGTCTTCCCGTTCCTTGCCATCCCCGCAGCCCTAACTTTTGCGGCATTCGTGGACTTCCAGGCAGACAGAGTTAAGCCGAAAGGCGTTTGGGGGAGGGGGGGAGGTTGTCCATGAATCCTCAGCCATTCCTCGAGATCATTTCCCTGGAGCGGGGAGAGCCTTCCATTTACCTCTAGGTTCCGGAGGGCTGTGCCCGGAAAGAATAAAAATCCAGAAGCCATCACCCCCGCTGCCCCCAACCCGTCCGGGGTATAGCGTCTTCCAGGAACTAGAACGTGGGTTCTTTTGGGGATGGGTGTCGGGTTTGAAAGCGCTGGGGGTGCTGACTATATGCCCCCCCCTCCGCCCCCTGCGGAAACCATGGAAAGCCCTGAGCGAGCCCTCTCCACCCAAGCGAGGAGTCCGCCGGCGCCCGGGAGCCATGGGCTGCGGGGACCCAGTTAAGGACAATTAACGGGGCGGATGGAGGTAGATTCGGCCCCAGGGCTCGGAGCACCCCGGGACGCGCGCCCGTTGGCGCTCGGCCGGGCCCTCGGGGGCGCGTGGGTCCCCGGCCCGGGCGCGGTGTGGGCGGGGAGGGGGAGGTCGCCCCCAGCCCCGCCCGACCCCGGGGACGCGGGAGCCCGCGGTCCTGCGGCCCCTGACTCTGCACGTCTCCCCCGCAGGTGAATGAAGTGTGCTCGCCCACCAAGTCCGCGGCGCCCTTCTCCCCCGAGAGCTGGTACCGGAAAGCGTACGAGGAGTCGCGCGCCGGGAACCGGCCCACCCCCGAGGGCGCGGGCTCGGCGCTCGGCTCGTCGGGGACCCCGTCCCCTGGCTCGGGCACCTCGTCCCCGAGCTCCTTCACGGGCTCCCCGGGCCCCGCCTCCCCGGGCATTGGCACCAGCTCGCCGGGCTCCCTGGGCGGCTCGCCGGGCTTCGGCACCGGCTCCCCGGGCTCGGGCAGCGGCGGCGGCTCCTCCCCCGGCTCGGACCGCGGCGTCTGGTGCGAGAACTGCAACGCCCGCCTGGTGGAGCTGAAGAGGCAGGCGCTGAAGCTGCTCCTCCCGGGGCCCTTCCCGGGCAAGGTGAGCCCGCGCGGGGCGGCGGGCGGGCGGCCCCCACCCCTCTGTCGCCGGGGCGCCCCCGGGGCACGGAGCCGGGAGGGGCGCCCGCGGCTTGAGGCCTTTCGGTCCGCCGGGTATGCCCCGGGTTACTCGCCCTGCGTCCTCCGCCCCGAGTCCCCGCGCTGTGCTCCCCGCACCCGACGCGACCTCGAGGCGTCTTCCCCCAAGACCCTGTTCCCGCGTGCTGCCAGCCCTGGCGACGCTGCAGGCGGGGTATGGGGGGCAGCTGACCCCAGCTCCTAGGGGGTTCCTCTCTGCAGCCCTCCCTTCCTCCCTCCCCCGGCTCATCGGATCCCTCTCCCCTCCCCACAGCCACTCGCGGGCCTCACGAAAAGCCCGTGGGGGTTCTAAAAGCAAGCTGGTATTTGGGGGTTGGCGTTTCCCACTGTCTGATCGTGGGCCTTCGTTCCCAGGATCACAGAAACAAACAGACCCTCGAAGGCCAGCATGTGCCCCCTAGCGTTACGCGTGTCCGCCCGAGGAAGGCCGGGGGGGGGGCGAAGGGGCGGGCGGCCTGGGGACCAGGCCGGGGCGCCCCGGGCTCCCCCAGGGCCTGGCGTGGTGCGCCCAGGGCCGGAGGGCAACACAATGCAGTTGTATTTGCACTGTTGGGGCCAAGTACTATCAAATGATAATATTTACTCTTACGCTTCAAAGAGTTTTTATCAGTGGTTGGAGAGAACTATCGAGAAAGCAGTGAAGAGCTGCGCGGATTTCTGACACTGCCCGGTGGCGTTTTCTGATTTATGTTTCTGGGACTTTTGAAACGGACTACTGTGATTTTTGAATGGTGGAGCCCGGCACTGACTCCATCTGCTCGCCTCACTGTGTTCATACGCAAGGGTTAAGTTAAGCAAACACCCACAGACGTTGTAAAATTTTACATGTGGAAAATTACCGCCAAGAGAATTGGTTTTATGAATCCCGAATTTATCTCAGGAATAATTAACCTGTGGATTGTTGAACAGTATACCATGTTTTTGGTAGCTTGGTAATCAGTCTGTCCCGACACCCTGAGAACAAACCTCAGGAAATCTGAAAGCGCATTATATGCTTGCATTCTGTATCCCCCGATTTAATGCTACTTCGTCACTCACAGGTTTATTTATTTGCTCTTTGGATCCTTTATCAATAGTTCCCGATTTCCTACCACATTCAAGGCACTAATGTTAGCACAGCACTGAAATGACAGGTACCTACAGCCCTTCTCCACATGGAGCTTGCATTCTTCTTTAAAAAATTTTTTTTAAATGTTTTATTTATTTCTGAGAGAGAGAGACCGTGTGAGCAGGGGAGGGTCAGAGAGAGAGAAGGAGACACAGAATCTGAAACAGGCTCCAGACTGTGAGCTGGCTGTAAGCACAGAGCCGGATGCGGCGCTCGAACCCACGAACCGCGAGATCATGACCTGAGATGAAGTCAGCCGCCCAACCGACTGAGCCACCCAGGCGCCCCTTGGAGCTTGTATTCTAGTGGAAGGTGCAAACGTTCAACCACAAAATGCACAATTCCGAATTTATTCCCATTTTGTGGTAAGTGTGTTTACAGAGGAAGAGCGTGGGGCGCCGTGAGATGGTATAACCAGACTAGACCCTCTGATACATTTTGAAAAACCTTGGTTCTCAAAGGTTTCATCTGATCTTTGGCAGTCCTAGTAAGTTACAGTCTACCACAGTATTCTAGAACATTCTCGATCGCGAGGACCTGTGCTTACCCTAGCTTGTTTATGTTGTTGTTTGAGTGGTTGTACCTGCAAAGGTAAATCCAAATAGACTCTTTCTATAAATATGGAGGAAGGGAAGGAAATCGATAGCGAAGAGAAACATGTTGAAATTCAAAATGCATCTGTCCCATTTTGTGGAGTCATGTGACAAAGTCGAGTTTTGTTTTTGTTGAAGCACCTGGAAAATTCATTCCCAGTGTTATACTGGAGGCAGTTCAATATACTTGCCAACTTTATTTACCTGCTGAAATGGAAGTGATCCCGGGGGACTGATCATTGGATTTCCTGAATCTCAGTGCTTTGCATCACCTTACAGAAACCCAGGCATGAGTGAGGGAGAGCTGTCAGTCACACAGGATCACTTTAAGGCACACATCAGTGGCATATGTGACGTAGCGTGGTGAAACATGACATTTGGTACAGGGGGTGCACAAGACTTAGCCAGAAACCACAGCGATATGGAATACCTCACTGTTGACTTTTTAAACATTTTATTTATTTTTGAGAGACAGAGCCTGAGTGGGGGGGAGGGGTTGAGGAACAGAGAGAGAGGGAGACACAAAATCCAAAGCAGGCTCCAGGCTCTGAGCTGTCAGCACAGAGCCTGACGCGGGGCTCGAACCCACGAACCCGTGGGATGATGACCTGAGCCGAAGTCGGACGCTAAACCTACTGAGCCACTCAGGCGCCCCTGGAGAATGCCCCTTCATTGTTAATCATGAGGTACGGAGCCTCAATTTGTTGGCCTAAACAATAAATGTAGCTCTAGTTTTCTTTTTTCAAAGTATTGGTACCCTCAGATAAGCTACAATTTCCATTAGGCTCTTAAAGTTTGCAATACTGTAAGTAGCCCCCAGGCACCAGAAGAGTTAAGTTTCATTGGACCAAGAGGTGTCATTGTGACTCCAACATGCAATTTGCCCTGTAGAGTAAGAGTCTAGAAAATAAAGGCATGTTTTTGAGGGGTAATTAGCGAAAACCATCATGGTAATTCACTTAAGTGGCTTAATTGTATTTGGAGAATATTTTCTCAGATAGTATACTAAACTCTACCAGGTGGTATTAAAACTCTCCTAGGTGGCCATTTAGAAGTCAGAGGCAGAAGAGCACACCCAGGAATCTTCCTGTTTTAGGATGGATTCGGTTTTGCTTCTTTCCGCCACCAATTTCATTTCGTGATGTCGAGTAAATCTGGTTTTTTTTTTTTTTCCATATTTTAAACTTCCTTTGGAGAAAAGATATGAGGGTTGATGATCGTCAATTAGCCAAGATACCGTTAGATTTATGGTTTACCTATTTAGGGGTTTTCTCACAAAACATCATCCGCTTTCAGTTTCTGATTTGTCAGTACATTTTCCAAATATCCTACAGCTGTGTGAGTTCTCACCCTGCACCCACGGGAAGTAGCAAGCCCTAGTGAGTCCTCCCAATTTTGTCCCTTGGACAGTCAGAGGGGAGCGGTGGGGTGCTGGCGAGCCCATCAGGGGTGTCTGGCTGGTGGCCTGAGGAGTGACCGCCGTATTCTGAGTATTCTTAGGAGTCATGTGGCCATGGGGAGAGCAGGGCTTTGTGGCGGAAGGCCACATGACTTGGAGATTTCTAGCTCAGGCTACTGGGGGTGGGGGTGGGTTGGGTGGGGAATGGGGTTAACTGAGGCAGGAAACAGGAAGCCATGAAGATGTGGGTGAAGCTCAAAGAGGAAGATCATCATGAGTTTGTTTTCCACGCAATGAGTTTGAGGCTTCTGGAAAGAGGCAGAGAATAGAGGCAGGTTTAGGACTGAAAGAGATTCTGGAAATGTAGAAATGGTGCCTGTGAGCTCACGTCTCTGTTAACGATGCTCTGGGTTTGTCTTTTCAAATAATAACGTCTTACCTTGGTGAGTAAAGATTTGTGCCTGGTGGCAGATTGTAAAACATTTGGATTGACTTGACTTTTATTGCCTGAGTCAGTACAAAAAAAAAAAAAAAAGGTCCTTCCTGGGTTTATATCGTATCTTTTCTCAGACTGGGAAGAAGTGGTCAGATAAAAACAGAAGAACGTAGATTTGTAAAGCTGCCAATTTGTTGGGATTTTCAGTAGAAACAGCCCTTTTGCGTGTCATCGTGTTCCAGTGTGCAAATATAAAGCCATTTCATATCCACCGTCTTTCCTGTTTTACACACAGTCGAGGCACCAAGCAGAAATAGGGGCCAAGGAATGAATCTCCCATTTTGGGGCCATCCTAGATCCTTCTGATAACTGAGACAGAACTTTTGAGTTGGCAGTGGAAACCCTAAGAAACATCAGCCCCAAAGAATTCCCTGGAGTGAGCGGAAACGCTCCAGGTTGGCTAAAGGGTATCAGACATCTGTGCATTTCCATATCAATACAGGGGAATCTTTTATGTAAAAAAAAGGTCCAGAACGACATTCCTATCTGATTTTTTTTTTCTCAGTCGAGTATTCTGGGTCCATTTAGGCCTCAGAAATACCAGGAAGATTAGCCAGACACACTGAGAAGGGTGGCCAGGAATCACAGAGATGAAAGAAAGGAATGTGTCACGGGGCTTTAAAAACACCAAACATAGACTCTAAATAGCCAGAGCCCAAGTGAGTCTAGACTTGGGGAGTATGTGTGTGTGTGTATTTTCCCAGCTCCAAAACGGGTATGAAGAAAATAACTATTTAAAAGTTCCTCCAGAAGCTATGGTATGATGCTTTATAAATAGTTACAATATTACATTTTAAACATATATCAATTATGCTGGCAGTATATTTGAAGCCTTAAAATAGATACAATACGTGTTACATTTTAAACATGTATCAATTATGAGAGCAGTGTATCTTTTAAGATCCTTTAAGTGAAATCTTTTAAGATCCTTTAAATGAAATCTTTTAAGAGCAGGTAGCTATTTTCAGAAAACGTTATTTGAATCTTTTCCATTTGAGAAATATTTTAGATACGAGGTCAGCTAATAGATAGCATTGGTAATGAAAAAGTCCTGTAGCACTTATCATCAAAGCGTGTCCAAGACATTTCAGGGGTTCTAAAAACATGCCCAGTAGGGACACGTGAATGGAAATCTCTTCCTGAAGGTTTAGCAAGCTGTGGGATAATAGCTTTGCATTCTACCAGACTTTTAATTGTGAACCAACGCGGTCAGTTTTATAGTGACTTAATTCACTTTGTAAAAATCCCTGGGCTGTAGTAATTTCTTCCACACTCATTGCACATAGGATTATTGCATTAGAAATGT